TACGTAGAATCAGGAAAGTCAGCAAGTTTAAATCTGGCGCACAGCGAGTTTGGGTATGAAGCTCGCCTGCTGTATAGTGCATATATAAGGAAGACAAATTTTGTTGTCGAAACACGGAAAAACGCTCCAGACGCAAGCCTCTTTGCACGGTTCGAGGATCCGCCTTCCAAGGGATGGACTTGGGTGAATGACGAAATATGCGATGACGGGAACCAGCCGCACATGAACTGACCGAGATGTAGCCCTGTGAGCCGAACAAAACGTGGAATAAGGACGCTATTGCAAGTTGGGGTTGCCAATTCCCCTCACAATCTTTATAAAGCTCATAATTCGGTGCGTTGAATTCCAAAACGTCATGTCAGAAGGACAATAGAGGCACACCTGGGTATTTTAGGCAAGGACTATCAGCGGACGAAGTATTCATACGCAAAGACCTAGAAAATAGCCGAGAGAGTTCCCTTCAAAAGCGCTGCTGAAGTGTTCGCCGTGACACTTTATGACATTGACTCCATCCGGGAAAAAAGGAGGTCGAAAAAAGGGCCATAAACCTTCAAAGTGGATGTTCTATACTTGCAGAGGTGTACTTTGACAGATTAGGGATGAGAAAATTTCTCATATAGCAATCCTTCACAGGTGCGAAACCTGATGCTCCTGCTAGGTTTGCACCGCAGCCACTGACAGATTACATATGAAACATGTTTGTCGTAACTACCTTTACAGAAGTGCTGCTTAAAGTCCAAACAACACTTCTGCTTGGAAAAACAATTTTCCCATAAGCATACAATTTAAAATCAGGAATTCAACTGTCAAAATCTTGCCCCTTGCGAGTCAGTCTATTTGAAATGCATAATCCCTCCCGAAATGTATTTGCCACCGTAACAAACTTTATTATTTCGACACAAAATAAATGAATATCTACGGAAGAAACTTAAGCAGAAAAATCAAAATGTAAGTCATGAATGTCTCAGAGGCTCATTTTCCGGAATGCAGTAAAACATGATCAAAACTCAGTCTGGATAACAGTAATGAAGACAGCAGTGGTGTGGTTTTCGCTGACGACACAAATCACGCCGTTGGGTCTAGCAAACTCCTCCTACAGTTAGCAGAGGTCTCAGAAATGCCTCTTTTCATTCATTTAAGTGTCATAGCTTCCACTTCAAAGGAAGGAGAAGCCTTTTTCAGAGATCACTCCCCCTAAGGAACTCGGATTGTTGACTGATTTAGCTTTGCCAAATAAGCACAATAAGGATTCGACTCATAACTAGCTTTTTCAAAGAGACAAAATTAAGCCGCGTGGTGAATAACGCAGTGCAAGAGATAGTAGTCCGCCTTTGCACGGGGGATGAGCTGTTAATAGGAGACAGTCCATGTCCCGTGCACCTCCAGCCACCCATAAATGACGGCCGAGGTGCTTTATGCACCAACCCTGTCGTTCATCCCCAAGGATCCTGTGTTGTCGCCCAAGATCTGACGTCGTCATCTCACCGGAAGCGGCGTAGGACAGATTATTAGATTCCCAGATCTTCACCGCTGGGCAATGTTTCGAGTTCATGGGGTGTGCCGTCACAGATCGCATACTGTTAAGAGGCATTATGGGGATCACCCCAGAGACTGGCCTATCCACATTCTTATCAGCTGCAATTACACTGGACTCGATTATCTAACGCCCACTTTAGGCTGCAAAATGTCAGGCTAAATAATTGGTGTCTTGGGCAGACTTCTTATAATATTCTTTCTTTTTTGACTAATTTATTTTCTCACTGCCTAGTTAGGTTAAATTCCCTGATTTTTCGTCATTGTAAGGGGTACCATTTAATTGGCGTCCAATAATTAACACCCGCTTATGGTTACCTTGATCGGTGCCTTCTTTGTGGAAAGTTGGCTTTGCTGGGCATCTTCACGATCACCACGTCAGCCACAATGTGAATACGTAATCACGGTCTACTGCTAACTTATATCGACCCCGTACACACCTGCCCACACTGCTACTGCATGCTCGGTGCCCGGTTAGATATATCTGTGCCCACATCAGTGCAAGCGACGGTCACCAGCAGAATTGGTTATCACCAAGATTTACAACCCTCCAAGCAGCCTCCACTACCGACATGAACTTTGGACTGGGACAACACTTACAGTGAGTGACCGATCTCGTGAAATGCTGGCTAAAATACAGAAATTCGTTTCTAATACTAATTATCTTATGGCCTAATCCTGTAATATTTTGGACTCGATAGGATGCCAGCTGTTGAATATACTGCTTTTAAAACTCCTGTAGGAACCGTACTCGGTAAAAAAGGACTACTTAAGTAGCAAGCATTCTCCCGTTGATTTTTGATGGTCTGTCGGATTCAAATATATTTTATAGAAACCATGAGCGAAAATATGCTTTCTTTCAGTCGTTTGGTATAAAATCACGTCATCTCTATATTTTTATATTCGAAGAAGGAGTATAATCGGGGTTTAAAAGAGTTTTCTAATTGCCGAATAATTTGAAGCCTGATCAGTCGTTGCATTAGCGTTTAGTGATTTAAGTCTACAAGGTGTATGCGCTCCACGTAAAGAAAATCACATATTCTTATATGCCTTTAAAAAGATATCATAAAGAGTCGATAAAATTTTTCAATGGATGTGGACTATGTTGTATATTTCATGAGAAGCAGTGGTGAACGGACAGGTACGATGCTAAATGAAAGGAGATTACGCGGTCTTAAAAAATCCCATAATTAGAAATTTTTTTAAAACCTAATTATACTCCTTTTTCGAGTTTAAAATATCGAGATGACGTGATTCTCTATCAAACGACTTCAAGAAAGCATATTTTCGTTCATGGTTTCTATACAATATATTTGAATCTGAAAGACCATCTAAAATCAATGGAAAAATGCATGCTAATTAATTAGTCCTTTTTTACCGAGTACAGTTCCTACAGGTGTTTTAAAAGCAGTGTATTCCGCAGCTGACATCCTACCGAGTCTGAAATATTACAGGATTATGCCGCAAGATAATTAGTATTACAACTGCGCCTAACGAATCCTGCCTAATAGAAAACGTATTTTTGAATTTCAGCCAACATCTCATGACATCGGTTACTCACTACATAGGGACGCTCCCATAGTAAAATGAAAACCAAGGCACTTCACCCATCGCCAGAGACCAAAACCAGTTTGTTGGAGACTGTCATCGCCCATTACGATCTACGCTGGGGACAAATCACCTGAAGGGCATACGTGAAGCTAAGTTGCTTGGCAATAAAAATGGGGGAAGCCCACAGGAGCATCTGAGACTGGGAGCTTTTCGAGCTGCACATCCACACATTCGGAGTGGGAAGTAATTGGACGCAGGAATGACCCTGTACTACAAGTGGTTTTACCCCTAAAACGGGCCGCGCGGTAGACATGTTGGATCAATATGGGCGCTAGATCGGGGTCCGACAGGCGTTATCGAGAATGTACAGCCATAACAAATGTCAACATTGGGGTATGGCGGCGCACCTAGTTGCCGGCTCACTCCGCGCCAATTGGGTCCCGTGCGACCCCCCACTGTTGTTGTTTAAAATCCTGGTCTGTGTACTTTGTTGGCAAGGTGGTGTGGTGGTACGCCTAGGTGCGGGTTTACGACGTGCCAGCCACCTGAGGCGTCTACCACCTCCGGTTTTCTTGACTCTGTCTGAAAATCGAATCCAGGCGGAGCTAGTGCGTAGATGCTGAGCAAGTGTGCTACCACTTTCAACTAGTTCACGAGCAAGTCATCGTCCCTGTGGAGCATACCGCGGACACCGTTGGCAATAAAAGTCAAACTACAGATGGTACTGTGCTAAATCCCAGTGAAGTATCTATTCTTCCGTTCACATTCTATTCCTAACCTTAACACTGCTCCTCATAACCCCCCTGAATCCTCCCTACCGTGGGAAACTATGTTGTTGCATCCTCAGTCATGTTTTCTGCTTCGAAGTCAAACTGGCACACATTACAAGGTGTGAAAGTTGAGGTCCAAAAAAGACGCCTTCTCAATAGGATTTAAAGATTTTAATTCTTTTCAGATACGTTTAGCCTTTTTTCAGTTTTGGGTATTTCCTTCCATGACATTGTGGAGCCCCGGACGCCTCTAACACTGCCGACCACTAGGCTATTATTAAGACTGTAGCCGCCCTAATACGGCTTGAGATAAGGCGGAAAACATCTGAAGACTAATTAGACAGTCCTAAAAAGTGTAGCTTCAAAGTTCGCCTTGCATGAAATAAGCGGCCGCTGGACAAATGCACGGGCACCATCTAGCAGCGAGCTCTGGAACAATCTACTTCGTGAATCAGATATCCTTTGAGTCATGTGATGGGCGACAGTGCGTGAACCTGAGGGCGTGACCTCTGCACAGGAAGGAGCAATCCAAATTACCGACTGTAGCCCATTAACAACGCGCTAAAACAGTTAAGAACAGTCGAGGAAGAGACTTGACTTGTGCAAAAATAGTTTTAAAATAAGGCAAGCACTGGAAACTGTACACAGAAGAATGCGAGGCGATTTGCCGACAATGAAGGGGACAGTGGAATGGTCAGTCTGCCTTACTTGCCGCCCTCACTGGTCTCACCCCAAATGTAGGCTGGGAAGGTCCGAACATTCGCCGGCTTCGAGTCGGGCAGAAGTTCAGTGACCTGACCAATTGGCCTACTCTTCGGGCTCATTCGAGTGTAAACGGAGTAATGCACAGAGTAATAAAAACACACACAAACACATAGATGGGTGGTAGCCGAAGTAAAAGGGGTCATAGGAAAACACGGCGATGAAAATGGGAAATGGATAGTGGCTTGCTTGCGATTGTGTGAGAGTTCGAGATCAACACCGGGGTCCGGGGACTTCGACGGCAAGAGGACTCACTTTGGTACCCTTTCAAAAGGGCAATGATTGTCAGAATACCCTGAAGAACTACCTCTTTCTATCCCTCATACACACAGCTCATCAGTGGCGAGAGAAGTGGAGTAAGAGGTAAAGCGAGTAGGGCCAACCTCACCGGAATGATGGAGAAAGACGGGTGAAGGGCCTGAAAGAGAAGACCCTTGCGATTTTCGGAATTGGGGCCGACGTGGGTCGGGGACAGAAGCTGAGAGAGCGTTGAACTCGTAATCTGCGCGGCGGCCGAATAATCGCGATCTCCTCTGTCACTTTTTCCTCCTCACCCAGCACTGCCACGTCCGAAGAGAAGGCGGAGGAGGAAGAGGAAGGGGATATCTGCCCGTTCGACCGTGCCGCTTCATCGGACGGCACGCTCAATTGCAGTGGACAAGGCGATGGAGGAAGTGGTAGGCTTCCGTCATCGTGCTGAGATTTACCTTCTGTTAGCAGCCCTTTAGAGAGTGCGCACAGGGAGCTGGGCATGCGGACCCAATGCAGGTGTTCTGGTCCAATATAACTGACGAAGGAGGCCAGCTTGGGTGGCAAGTGGAGGGCGGAGAGCTTCATCAGAAAATTTGTTCCACCCAGCAGATGTCTGACCTTATTACGAGCCAGGAGACCCAGTGGTGGCGGTTCCCGAAACATTGCCTCACAGGAGGCTATCAGGTTAGACATGCGGGCGTTGAAGAAGAGGCGTTGATCACAGTATCGCTTGACGTATATTTTACGCAGACGGAGGTTGTCCACGGTATCACAGAGTTTGCCGGCATTAGTGAGAAAAAAGCGTAGGGCCAGGAGATTAATGAGAAGAAGAGCAGCCGACCGGATAAGACTCGGCAGCGTCTGCCCCACTAGTTCGGGTAGGCGGGGGTGAGAGAGGAGGCAGATAAGGATTCCGAACCAGTTGGTGTTGGGACTGACGTAATCCATGAACTCAAATTCCGAGTAGCCGTTCTCAATCAGACAACGAACTACCTCAATTTCCACGAAAGCGTCCTCACTCTCGGATAGATCTGGCACCCGGGCCAAGGGATTGACGTAGGCACACATGTAGTGGTCAAAAGATGCGGCAAGGGAGTTGAATACAATGATGGAGTCGATTCGATGAACGTCCACCCCGTGGCTAAGAATTTGTCGAATGCTCGAGAGCTGGGTGTAAAGTGGATTAGGCAGGTCCGTTTCTTCAAGATCTATACCGAACTCTCCGTACTGCTCGTAGGTATTGGCGAAGTAATAGTCCAAGACTGACTGGTACGTGTAGTGGCCACTGGTCCAGGTCCTACGGTAGGGAGAGTTGTTGGGTCGGTGCTGAGAACGACAAAAACACGTCCAACGTCGGCAGAACTGAGGTCTATTTACGTCATAGCCATAGCGCCAGAGGATAGGTAGAAGAGGCCATTGACCGCAATCGGCAGCCCACATGGCAGGGGAACACTCCTGATAGAAACTCCCCAGCAATCGGTTGGGGTGGTGGCGACGAACCGTCAGACTGATCCGTTTTTTAGCTCCCTGCAAACACTGGAGACAACGCTCCAGCCTCTCAGCGTCCCCGCGAGCTATGCAGTAAAAGAGGTCAGCTTCCGCTGCATCCACCGCAGTGGACTTGGAATCAAAGCAAAAACACACTGGCCAGAACGACCGTTTTCGTCTTGGCCGGGCATGCATTCCGTGGGCGCCGTGTGAAGGTCCACGAATAACGAAACACGCAGGGAATAACAGATTGAGATGGGCGGCGAAGCTGTATGCGGAAAAAGAAGACCGCGCCCTAGCAATGGAGAAATCCGCGACAGCAGAAATGCACGTCAGCAGGCAAGAAGGGTTGGCGCGAGCGGACGGAAAGTAAATTGCGTGCGCCGGAGAGGACTTGATGATTTCTGACCGATAAGCTGCCCAACTTTCTTACAGGTGGAGGACACGAAAACCAATCAGAGGGCAGCCTATTGCCGTCGTTACCCGCGTGCGCGTGACGCTTTTGCGAACGCTCGCCTGCCTGTCACATGACCTCACCCGACACGACGATCGTTGCGTGAATCGATGTTGAAAGGCCGACAGCGGTATCCGCTGTCACTAGCCTCTCCTGCTGTTTTAGCTGCTTACGTGGAGTGCAACTTGTGTAGGTTGACCGGTAAAATGCTCACAATGAGCCTTGATTAACATATAAATGTCCTAGCAAGATGCGTAAGTGCACTGCCCACTGAAGAATTGCTTACGTCGGTCAGTGACCGCGAAACTAGTCTCCTCCCTGGCCCTAGAATTTCATCTTGAGATCCGCGACGCCGGCGTTCAACACTTATGGGCAGTATTTATAATAAAACAATTGCTCCCGTCATAAACATTGACCGCTTATAGCGGTGCGGGGGAAAGATTGTGCACTTATGTCTTGGTAAAACAAACACTCTCTACAGAGTGGTGTAATGAAACAACACGGCTCAAATTATGGCCATCCCAAACATTGCATTCTAAAAACGTTAGTTAAGAGAATTAAGTCTTCTCTTCTCCACTTTTAAGAGCGAGAATTCGACAAGGAAGGGGGTAGGAAATTGCTAACATGCTAATAAGTAATTCCTTCTATTTTTGCTTCTACTTATAACGGCTGACGTACCTCATGAAACGTTGACTGAAATTCTGAAGCGCGATTTTGGCTAGAAAGGACTAATTCGATGGGGTTATAATATCGATCACGCGGTATAATCCCATTATGATCCAGTTGCGCCAGGGTGTCGTCTTTTGAATGCGTCTTTCCGGCCGCCTGAAAAATAACATTTGTCGAAATGACGGCTTACTTTTCGTGAATCTTTTCCATTGATTTTCCTGGTCCTTATAATTGCAAACAGGTTTTGCAAAAAGTTGCGCAAAAAACATTGGTTCATACTCATTTTTAGTAAACTAGACATTCTTTCAGTGCTTTCTTGCAGAAAGAACAACTTCCCATTTAAAAAACTTCGAAGTAATGGTTTTTTTGAGATCGTGAAATGACTATTCAAACAGCATCACATCCGTCCGTTTGTTAATGCACCTCATTAAACGCATAAAATAGTTCAGATTCGTTACATAATTGCCTGAGTTCTAAATGTTATCTTATCAACAACGTAGAGGACTGTGAAATCTTTCCTAAATTAAAAGTTCACGACTTGTAGTTTAGAAACCCAAAATGCAAGTGCAACGGCAGACCGATTTAAGAATTATTTAGCAATCGGAAGACTCTTAAAACTGGAAGACACCGTTTCGTCGAGTAAAACTTTGAGGAGACTTACTTTGCCACCAACCAAACGAAAGAAGGTATATTCTTGTGCATGCCCGCCACGAAAAATGTTCGGATTTGTAAGGCTCGCGAAAATAAACGAAGAGGTTCACTCTGCCTAAGTAGTCATCTTTGACGAATGTCCCTTTTCAGGGTCCGATGTGGTTATGTAGCCCCACCCGAGGTAAACAAACCACAGCCATCTGTAATACAGGACCGGTGGTAATAGCACTTTTCACAGGTGGGGCCGGAGAACGCACAGGCGACGAAGTGAAGTAATTGTATGCGAAAGAAAAGCTATTGGGGATGCGCGGTTGTACTTTGAGTGGTTGAGAAATAGGTACCCCGACCCCTAACCCTAACTTCTAACCCTAATCCCTGACCATAGCCCCTAACTCTAACCCCAACCCCGGCAGTATTGTGGCCATCAGATGAGGCTACATAACCACATTTTACCCTTTTCAGGAGGCCGGAAAGACACGTATTCAAATTCCGACATATAGTCACGACTGAAATATCTTGGGATTATGCCACACGATAATCAATTTCCAAAGCTCAGTTAAGTAATCTTTCCTGATCGAAATCAAAATTCCAAAGTTTCAGGTAATGTTTCATGAAATAAGCCACCTACTGCACGCATCAGGCGTAAAACTTATAGAGACAGGTACCTCGTAAAATTAATTTTACCGGCGAGACGCTTGCGACTGAATAAAAGCGCAGACTCGGTCAAGTCACCGACTTCTAGGCCGGTTTCCACTTGCAGGTCTATTCAAACGTAACAGAGCCAGTAAGGGTTTTGCACTACACCAGCCACCGAACGCACCTGCGCTCTACACACCCAGTTTTCGCATCCTCAGGATGAGCGATACCATTGCTTCAGCATATCAAAAGGGGGAGGGAAAGACATCGTACTATCGGCACCGGGGCTTCGTGTATGCGCCACCTAGGGACCGGGCGAAATATCGGGTCAGCCACTATGATCATACTCAACTCTGGTCCTCTTGACCTTGTCTTACCATTGGCGCACGACCTGAGGGGGAGGAAGTGAGACCGATGCTTCGCAAGCCCCTCCCACCCCCCGACTATAATCTGATGTCCGCAAAGCCGGTAATATTCCCCCGGCGTAGCGGATCTAGTCGACGTCGGGGTCAATGAATCACTTATTTGGATATCGGATTACATACTGGCGCACCCTATAGCTCAGTTGTAAGCGCACCTGCTGTTAAAATGGCTAAAAAAAGGAAAACTTATTTGTCACTGAATAATCAGACGACTTAGGTGAGAAGCTTTACGGAACACAAGGTAGAATTTAAAAATCAATTCAAATGCAGTTGTGACAATGACGACGGAATCAACCACTTTGGTTTCGAATCCAGCGTCTGATGCAGTCTCTTCAGCAGACGAGTAGAATAACATCACTTGACCAACGCCAGGCTATGTCGTTAAGCACGTCTAAATCTGACTTGGGGACCAGACACCCGCCCCCCGAGGCAGAGATCAAAGTCAAGGTTCGAAGAACTTCTCAGGACCCACTATACAACACGATCGTGTGTCCAACCCCTTGCAGAAGTTCCTGAAAAAGATATCAATAACGCAGCTTTCACGTTTTCCAGTATATTTTTGTGTAGGTTCAGTAACCGATCTCGTGAAGTGTTAGCCGAAATTCGGAAATGCCTTTTAGAGTAAGAAGGATTACTTAAGTGGGACCGTAAGCTCGACTGCCTTGTCGCATAATCCCGTGATATTTCAGGCACCCCGGGATGCTGCTTTTTGAATACATTTCTTTTCGGCCACCTGTAAAACAGCACTCGACAAAAAAATATCTACTTAAGTGCCATGCATTTTCTCTGTTGATGCTCGACGCCCTTGTAAATTCAAATACACTTTATGGAGAACCTCCCTAAAATATTATTTCTCGCATACATTTGGTATAAAATCATGCATTCCTCAACTCTTATACTCAAAGAAGTAGTTTCCCCCGGTTTTAAAAAGGTTTTTCAATCCTCGACTGGTTTTGAACCTGATCTGCGATTGCATTTTCGTTTAGGGATTTTAGTCTTCAAGCCATATACGTTCCGTGTGGGGAGAATCATGCATTCCTTCATGACACTGAGAAAATACCATATTCGACTCATAAAGTGTTACAATGAATGTCGACTATGCTGTATACTTAATGAGAAGAATTATTACAAGGACAGATACGATGCTCTTCGAATGGTCATAGCGAGGTCATAAAAATCATATAAATAAAAAACTCTTTATAACCAAAAGATAGCCTTTTTTCGGGTATAAAATTCGAAGAAGACACGAGTTGCTATAAAATGGGTACAGGAAAGAATTTTTGTGCATGTTTTCCGCGAAATATTTTATAGATATATATAAAAGGATCTGAACTTGATGGAAAGAATGCATGCTATTCAAGGTAGTCATTTTTTACCGAGTGCGGTTCCGTAGGTGGCCGAAAAGAACGGCATTCGAAAGCGAACATTCTGACGTGTCTGAAATATCGCGAGGTCATGCCATGAGACAACCACTATTACAACTCCACTTAAGTAATCCGTCATAGTTGAAAACAAATTTCAACCTTTCAGTTAAAGTTTCATCCGGCCACTCACCAAATATAACTCTAATTAGCCTGTGGCCACCTTTTTTAATTTTCTAGTACAATGGGAACTTATTAAAGGCGAGACTATTTGCGCAGGAAAAATGTTTGAGGCGTCCGTTTCCTAGTCGTTAGAGAGACGAAAAATTGGTAGAGGAGTGCTCACCGATCGTTCTTACGGACCTCACTCGTTCGCTGTGCTTTACGGGCTCTCTCTCTAGCTGTGATTGCCCCATTTACTCTGATTTTTGCCAGATTTTTGTTTATTTGGGTAAGCAGACTTTTTATCCCACAAAGTGGACAATGTTTATAGGGCTGTGGATCGTCGAGTAAGCTCAAAGCTTTCCCCTGGTGATCAGATTTGTTAAGCACTGCTGTGCAACGACCTATGTCAGCCGGCAGCATGATTATGTCTTTATCTGCTTTTAGGCTTTTTACTTCTCGCAGTTCTTTCGTTTCGTTTGTGTCGCACTAGCAAAGCAGAGGTTTTGTGACGAATCAACTCTTTCGTCTCTTCTGACGTCTGTGTTGGTTGACGAACAAATTTAAGGGCGGCAATGAACTCTGGGGTACGGCGTCTGCTGTGTTGAAAGCTGCTCCATGTCCTGGGACTGCAAGTGGTGCGCCGGCGAGGAATTTAAAAGCAGGATTATGGACCAGGTCGCCGGTGAGTTATCCGGGCTAGCTGGTCTCCATTTGACCAATTCACTGATAATTCGTTATTCTTGTTGGCACCTACCTTTCGAGCATGATTTAGAGTGGTTTCCTCAATATCCTTCGATCCTTCGGCAATAATTGCCACGAAGTATGACGTGGATTGGTCAAGTTATAGGTTGTAACGTTGCAGTCTTTGATGGCAGTCATGTACAGGTACTCCAGGCATTTTAAAAGAAGAGGCGTTCACCGGGGGAGGTTTATTGGAGGTCTGACGTTTCGAGCAGTTATTCCGTCTACTCATCTTCAGAGACTGGGAAGTCATGCGCACAACACTTCTAATATGGCGCACCGTTTCATGCGCGACCCGCCAATGCCACCCTTGCGGCTGCATCCGACCCGCATGTCACCGTGACCTGAGTCATCCTCGCCCTCGTTGGCTGCGGAGATAGATAACGGCCCCGATTGTCTCGCGGCATGACTTTTACCCGTCAAGAAGGTTCGTAAAACCAGATAAGGGGGGAGGGGGGAGGGACAAGTTGATGCGGCGGTTGACAAGGCAATCGATGGACATCCAGGCTTCTTCCACCTGCCTTGCTGTACGGTCATCGGCCCGACCCGCGATCTCGACGGCGCCAAAGTTGGAAATGTGTCCTATCTGCGCGGCATGAGTTGCTGCCCCAGACTTCGGCTTCAGCGTTCGCTCAGCGAACTCATGCTCGTGCATTCGCGTTTGCAGGCGTCGGCAGGGTCGCCCAACGTAGTTGTACATCTCGCAGCTTCAATGAAGTCAGTAGACAACTGCCGGCATCTCCTGCTCAAGTAGAGGGTCTTTTGCCGCATCACTGGCCGACGGATTGTTGAGTCAGGCCTGTGAGTAACTCTTATTCCGAGTGGCGTGAGGGATCTAGCCATGGCTTCGGAGACTCCTTCTATACATTAAATACTCCACCACAATTTCGGCCGACTATGGTCTTCAGTCCATTTCATTCGTTGCGTTTCGCTCCGTTCGCCGAATGCTCGCGGATAGCCGTTGGCCCTGAAGAGTTCTTGGAGGAGCTTCATTTTTTCCAGTTTGGCGGCTGGCGTGCCGCAATGAGTCTCCACCCATTGGTATGGCGTGCGTACACAGCTTCTTTTGTGTTGCAATGGGATTTTGCTGACGTAACTGAGCATTTGCAACGTGTTCGTCCGTCTTCTGTAGACTGACGTCTCCAGTTTACGGCCTGGTCTTCAGTTCGGTGTTCAGTCGAAGGCCGTGGCGATTCCACACAGAAACTTGCAGCCGACCGAAGGCCTAACCGGCTTTGGAGATCCGACGGACAACCTCGTTGTCGACGTCTGTACTTTGTGAGAGTGTGATTCCTAGGTAGGCGAAGATGTCCACGGCATTGAGTTGGCCGCCCGTGATATTTATTCATGGAGTGCTGTATTCCATGTTGGGTGAGGGTTGGTGTTTGATCACCGTTTTGTCCGTGTTGATGGTCTGTCCGAAATTAGTACACCCGGCCACGAAGAGTTCCGTACTCCTTTACATGTCTTCTTCAGTCGTGATGCTGAGCGTGCAGTCATCGTCAAGAGCGGGTCGTGAACCGTGGCCGTTGATAGCCGCGTGGGGTCATGTAGGCGTCTGTTGTTAAGATGTCCGCCAGCTCTGTATGCGCTGCGTATCCCAGGGCGCCCATCGCGATATGCATCCATCTGCATAGCAAAGGACAGAAGGCTAAAAAGGGCGGCAGCGAGTGCGCAGTCCTGCTTCACTCCTGTAGCTAGCGAGCGGCGAAGATCATGTTGCTGGTTTCACGATGACGACAGTAGCCACACTGGTTTTTCGACAGGAGACCCTGCTCCAGATGACTGTTGAGACGGTTGAGAAGAATGAGGGCGAACGTTTCCCTGACGATGTTGGACAGGGCGATGCCTCTGTCGCTGTCGCAGATTTAACAGTTCTCTTTCCACTTATAGAGATGGGCGATTATGGCGTCCTTTAAGTCCTGCGGGAATTGCCATTGACGCCACAGCTCCTGGAAGAGCGCAGTCAGAAGACACATGAGTTGAGGGCCTCGGTTTTTGTAGATCTCAGCAGGGATCGCGTTCGATCGGGGCGCTTTCCCGCTGGAGAGCTGCTGCACGGCCCTGATGCTTTCATGGAGAGATGGCTAGAGGTCGAGATCGGAGTTGGTCTCCACCTGAAGCAGACGGGCAATGGCGGCGTCGGAGATGACGGAGGGGCAGTTGAGGATGCTTCTGAATTGTCCGGACCATCGTAGCAAAATTTGTGTCATCTAAGTAATTAGGGTACTGCCGTCGGCGATGAGAAGAGGAGCAGTAGTTTTGGCTGTGGGACTGTAGACAGCCTTGATGGCGGCGAAAACGTTCTCTCATTCCTGGCTGTCGGCGTATCCTTAGCTCTCCTCGGCACAGCGAATTGTCTAGGCTCCCTGCATCTCTCCCAGTCGCTGTTGAACAAGGTGTCGACTACGGTCGAAGGCTGCTTTTTTGCCGTCGGGGAGGCTACTGACGTAGGCTTTCTGCAGACTGTTCTTCTCGACGAACAGGCTGCTGATGACGGCGTCGTTGTCATCGAAGCAGTTGTGATGTTTGCGACGTGTGCGAACGAGGACAGCAAGAGCCGTCCCTCAGTTGATACCACTGGTTATCCACGGAGACGTTCTCCTCAGTGGCGGCAGCGTCAACTGCGGCTAGAGGGCTGGCTATCCGTTCAGCTAGCTCGTTGCTGAAACGGAGACGGTGAGCAAGCAAAGAAAACAGGGCAACATTCAGCTTACCTGGGGGTTGCTCACCTTCAGGGGTCCTGCGAGGCTGTAGGCGAGTCCGCATCTTGGAGATAACGAGGAGGTAATTAGTTCATCCGCGGGCGACTGGGATTCTTTTTTTATCAGCATGTGCCGCTGTACTCGTCCCCAAACGAGGACATAGTCCAACAATTGCCAGTGTCGCGACCGAGAGTGCATCCAGATGGCTTTCTCTCGCGTCGAAAGGTGGAAGAAGGTGTTGATCAGGATGAATCGGTGTTCTGCGCAGGTTCGTAGGAGGAGTACACCATCGTCATTGTAGCCGTCGAGACCATGGGGACCTAGCACTCCTCTCCAGACAGCATCGTCTATGCCTACGTGGGCGTTAAAGTCACCAGGAAAATCAACTTCTTTGCCTTCGACACAGCCACCAGGAGGACGTGCAGGTCCTCGTAATATTTGTTCCTCGCCGCGTCGGGGGTGGTCATCGGGGGAGCGTAGACACTGACGATGATGGCGAATTTGCCTACCCAGGGAGGCAGACTTAGTCTCATCAGGACAGTCGTTCCACGATGTCGTTCGAGATGGAGAAGGCGACACCCGCGTCCCGTCGGTCTGTCCTGGGACGCCTGCTCCAGAAGAAGGTGTAGCCGGCACCCACATCCTCTAATTGGACTTGTTCGGAGGACCGGGCGATGACCACCTTGTAGCGCGCCAGTTCTCGAGCTACTATCGTCGTCCTTCGTTCCGGTCGGTTGATCCAGGGACTGTCTAAAAGGGAACGAACATTCCAGGCTGCCAGGGCGAGCGGATTCACCCTAGGAGCCTGGGGCGTGTGGCGACGGATAGGTGGAGGGGAAAGTGAGAGAGTATTTTTTCGTATTTGATGGTTTCGACCGTGGGTTTTGCGCCTGCAAGCCCTGATCAGCGCGCAGAAGACGTGACCTCAGAATTTATTTAGGGCACCTTTTACAGTCCCGTCTCCCTCGTGGGGGTTGCTCAGTTGTCCCAGGTGGCTGCCGAACTCCACTAGGCGTCACGATTTCGTTTAGTGGAGAGCGACGCGAGTTAGCCGGGGTCGCTTACGGAATTGCACGTTGCCCTCTCCGTATGACTTTGTGATGTGATGGAAGGGGGATGAGAAAACGGGTAGGGGGTGGGAGGAAGGAGGAAAGAGGGTGGAACAGGGATGTGGGGACACACAACACTGGAGACCCTTACCTCCTTTCGCCAGCTGGTCGAGAAAGTTACTGGTTTGTGGTCACTAGACAGAGCCTAGCTTCGGGGAGTCACATTTGAGAGTTGGGTGCCAGTTAATGGACGCTAGGCGGCAGCATTTATAGTCCCGATCCCCTCGCGGGGGTGAGCAGTGTTGTCCCTGGATAGGTCTGATCAATTGTCCCAGACGGCTGCCGGACCCCACTGTGGGCCAGGACTTTGTTTACTGGGAGAACGACCCGAGTTAGCTTGCGTCACCTACGTGACCTCTGTCGCTCTCATCGTAGGACTTGAGGGTGTGGGGAGAGGGGAGGGGGATGAGGGAAGGGTAGAAGGACGGAAAGCAGAGTTTCCCGTTCCTCGCTAATCTAACTGGTTGTTGAAATGTAAACGGTGAGCAACAAATTCAACAGGACGGTATTTATCTTACAACAAGGACACACCTAGAAAAACAGACAAAGGCAAGCAAGCAAGAGCAAGCAGATGTCAAAGACAAAAAAGCAATACTCAGTGCTGGATGGGTGGTCACTTAGCTTTTGGCCTCCCTCGGGTTTGCAGACGAAGTCCGTTCTTGGAGGTGGCGATGCGACGATCTGCTGGACTTTCGACCGTGTGGCAAGAAAGTAGAGTGTAGCGTAGCGTAGAGATAGTGAGGGGCGGGGGAGGAGGAGGGCGGAGAATAGGTGCGAAGAAGTAAGGAGGCGGTATTCCAGTCAATGGTTAGTAGCTTGCTGAGTGCTAATGGCATCCTGCGGGGTTGCAGTCAGAGCCTCATCTCAAAAAAGCGGAGACGTTAATCCATCCCGCCAGCGGTGGTGGGAACGGAGCCGAGTTACCGTATCCGGAGACGTACACACTGACACCCTCTCCCGCCAGTCGATGTGGTTGTCGGGACGTGGCTGCTGGGCAGGTCCCATTTCCACGGAGCCACATGTGAAAGTTGGGTCTCTTTTAATGGACGTTAGGCATAGTCTACACCTGAAAGCAAGTGAGCGACCTACTACGACCGCCATGTGAACCTAAAACTGCAGGCCCCACACGCTCGATAGGTCGACCGTCTTTGTCGACGATGTCCACCGTGTGCTCCACAGCAATGCAAGGCAGACACAGCAATTCGCGCATGATTTACCTTACAGTGAATGTAGACTTGCGCCTCATATACCCCACTCTCTCCTCCTAAGCAATTGGACTCGGTGTCAAGACGGATTTAAGAAGACGGGAGGCAGACGCTCGTGGATGGCACGGTCGCCCATGCACCTTGGCGCTCCACTCCACACCTCCTGGTGCACACAGCAAATGATCAGAACTTTAACTAACAACAACAATGGGGATGGCCGCAGGAGTCTCAATGTGCGCGACGTCTGCCACCGCATCGCAAAAGGTTGGCATTCTGATAACGCCTACCAGATCCCAATGTAGTCGCTGTGTCCATCCGACGAATCTACCACGTGGCCCGCTTGGGGAACACACACACGCTAGATACCACCATCTTGCTTATAAATGCGGAAAGACGAATCACAGCATGCAGTCGGAAAGAATGAGACGCGATCGTTGGGCATGAACTTTATTCGCCCTAACATTTCGCAGTCCTGCTCGAACTCATCATCAGACACAAAAGCAGATATGGGTGGTTCATGCACAAGGGGCTGCAATATTTATAGGATGCAGTCGTCATGCTACCGTATACCTATGAGTATTCACGGCTCTCAGTCCTCCCCCCCCCACTTCATTAGGGATCGTTGCCCTTGGGGTGCTGATTGTTTGATGGCTGACATTCGCGTAGTTAATTGCTGCCATTTCATCACATGTGTTGGATGTTGCTAGGATGATTGCTCAACCATCTGATCCACTGACTCTGGCGTCGGGAAAACTGTTCACCTGTGCGCTTCTTGCGTGACTAATTACTCCACCTAGGCGAAGTATCAGCGCCGAGTATGGAAGGGGAAGGTCATTACATTTGCTAATGGACTGGAGGCCAGTGAACCATGACTCAAGCAGCTATCGCCTCACGCGGTTGTCAACTCTAGCGAGAATTTTGGCCTCGTCGAATTTGAATGTGTGGTCGGATCTCGTCGAGTGAGCCGCAACTTGGGAGCCGGCGTCATTTCTCCGTACCGCTGCAGCGTGTTCGGCCATTCACGTCCGGAGCTGTCTTCTGGTCTCTCCGAAGTAGTTGCTTCGTCCGCAACTGCACCATATTCGATAAAAGACCCCAAGACATTTCTTGCTGTGGCAGCGGATCTTTCGGTTTCATTACCTGACGCCTGATGGTTGCCTTCGGTCTGTGTGCAACTCAAACCCCAACTGATGCGAAAAGACTGCCGACAACTTCAGAAACGTTATTGACATACGGAAGCGCTCGCCAAAGTTTGGAGTCGATGCGGTTTGGCCTTTCGTCCCTTCTGCGTATGCACTGGTTGATGAAGCTGTGCGGGCGGCCATTGGCTTTGAATACCCGTCGGAGGTATTGTTGTTCGGCAATGTTGTCTTCCGGCTCACTGCAGTGCGTTTCGACACGCTGGTAGGGCGTTCTTTTACAGTTACATTTCTGTTTGAGTGGGCAGTTGTTGAAGTTCAGCACTTGCATCGTATTTGTCGTTTTCCTGAACACTTTGGTTTTTAGGCCACAATAATCTTTGAGGCATATGAAGACATCCAGAAAGGCCAGCTGATTGCTCTCCTTTTCCTCCTCCTTCTCTTCATCCTCCTCCTCCTCCTCCTCCCCCTCCTCCTCCTCCTCCATCGTAAATTTCATGTCCGGGAAGACCGCATTCAGATGTTAATTGAATGTCAGCAGCTGCTCCCGGTCGAAAACTACGAAGGTATCATCCACAGACCGGGCCCAGAACATCGGTCTGTGGTGTTGGAAGATGAGCGACTCTTACCGTTGCAGAATCGCCTCAGTGAAGAATGCCGAAATCGGCGAACCCATTGCTGTGAGCTTCATCTGTTCGTAGACTGTCCCGTCGAACTTGAAGTAAGTCCTGAGACAAAACATCAGGAGCTGAAGGACTTGGACGTGTCCAGGACGATGCCCCGTGTCACCGTATTTTCGTTGTAGAAGTAGCTCGATTTTCTTGATCGTCAGGTCCTGGGGAATAGAAGTAAAGTGGGGCGTAACAGCAAAAGATACTATGACGTAATTTGGATGGAGACTTACCCCTTTCAGTTTCTCCAGGAATTGTGCTGACGAAGAAACCGTGGTGTCTGACTCAGCGGTCAGGAACTTGAGGCGCCGGAACAGCCACTTAGCCAGTCCGTACGTTGGAGTATCTTTGAGCGACACGATGGGTTAGAGAGGAGCGCCCTCTTTGTGCACCTTAGGGAGGCCATAGAATCGGGCCAAAGCCGTATCTTGGAGTCTCGTCATGCGTCTGTCGGTCGGTGTCATTGCATCCGAGTTCTCCAAAGCCAACAACGTAACACTAATTTTGCGTGTCAGCGCTTTTACAGGGTTCGTTGCACATGGGGCAGAGAACTGTCGGTCTTCCAGTAAACCATTGGCTTTTTGAAGGTAGTCTGCCCTATCTAGTACAGCTGGTCGAGGCGCCAGACTATCTTGCCTTTCCCTACCTATTCCTCATTCTCGAACTTACAGGTTGTTTAAGTGACTGGAAGGAACACAACTCAGCCAACAATTTGCCTGGCGAGCGCGCTCGCGGCGACTGCCTACAGAGCCTTTGTTTACGACTTCCGAAACAGTAAAGGTGGTCCGACTCGCCCCGTCTTCCCTGACTTTTGATTGGGAATCACTGTCTTGTCGACCACAGGACTTTCGACACAGCTGTGGAGTGCGCCTTGTCCGCTGGCACGACGACTAGGTCTTTGTCGGCCTTGCGCATCACGTTTAGCCTTGGAAAGCACTTCTCGCAGCCTGTGGGCCATCAGGAGAGACGACACTTGGTGTCGGATGAGCTCTTAGTTTCCTCCGTTGTCTCCGTTTGACTAAGGATTGATTCCACTGCTGCAATCATGTTGACAGGTTTGGCGTCAGCCGTGTTGAATGCAGCCTCGTGCCTTAACACCTGTATCTGATCCTTCGTCAGCTCCTTTGACGACAGGTTGTGCACCATTTTGTCGTTTCTGTGCAACGTCGGCAGCTTTCGGCATTTGTTCTCCAGTGCTGCGTCGCGTATCACTGTTCGCGGGCTCGTTCAGCCACCCTCTGCAGGAGCAGATTTGTACCGATCTCGCCCATGAACTCGCAGCATCCGGTCTTTTCTTGGTCAGTGCTCTGACGGCATTTTAGAAGTCTAGCGGAACAGTCTTGGAATAGCACCCGGATCATCCTTCTGTCATTCTGAAATACTGCTCGTCTCGCCAAATCCGTGTTAACCATGGGCTTATATGGCACACATTTCGCTAACGCATCATTGTCGAGACACCTGTGCAGAAACCGGATCTGCGAATACGTGGAGGCCTCCCGAAGGGCGAAGGTTTCCCACTGTCGAGCCGATCGGAGCGCATAGCGCCCAAATACATTGTCAATAGGAAGCGAAGAGACGAGTCCCAGCAAGCAGTCGTGAAGAAAGAGACCCGATCGCTAGGACAAGAGCTGTATTCGCCCTAACGTCCCGGATTCCTGCCCGAACCCATCATCAGAGACAAAAACAGATACGGGTGGTTCATGCACAAGGGGCTGCAGCATTTACAGGATGCAGTCACCATGCTTCCATATACCTATGCATATTCACGGCTCTCAGTCCTCCCCCCCCTTCATTAGGGGTCGTTGCACTTGTCGATCGCACACGCTGCATATCCTCACTAATTATCTTATAAATACCCACTAACTACCTATATCAGCGCGAGTGTTGTATGCAACGATGTCCACACTGTGCCCCACTGCATCTGGAAGTAGTCAGTCACTTTCGGCTGTGAGGAAAATTAAGAAAAGTTAGATTTTGTTATAAAGCGATACATCTGACTGCGTTCACAGTTGTATCCTGTTTCCAAGTGTGGAAACGTCACGATGGGTAGTGTGTGAATCGCTGCATTTAGTTTGGTCCGCTATTCTAACTACCAGAGTGTAAGATACAACAGAAACTGGCCAGTCTGTCCGCATTCGGCCAAAACTTTTTGTTCAGATTTATCAGCCAGTTAAATTATCCGGAGTCACAGCAAGGAATCACTGATTTTTATGACGGACTTCGTCAGTATTCTAGTGAAAGCACCAAGAGCCGTGTGGATCAGGAACCTTGAGTGAAGAGAATCTGAATATCTGCACAAGCACCCCTCCTAAATTTACTCCCCGATTTGTAAACCAATATGTTCGGACTGGGCCAGCTGCTGATAGCGGCAGTTCTCAGCTTTATTGCCTTTTTATGTGCAATGCTATGGTCGACAATGCACAAAGACAAGTCGGGACACTGATTTATACTAACTAAGCCGAAATTGAGTCCTGCATTCCCCCAGCATATTTCAATTTCATCCATTTTGGCTCAATAATCACTAGATGGTCCCCAGTAGCTTCAGCATCCTCCGTTGTCTCCGTCGTTAAAGTTCCTCCATTTTGTATGAAGCACCATGCGTCTGTAAATATGCGGCTGGCAGACGCCTCCTGAGGATCTGTGACTAACCTACTGCCCAAATCGACGCCCGCTCGTCATTTGACTCTCCTATCGTGATCGATATATTCGGTAACATATCTTTGGGTTTCCAGTTTTTTTAGACTTTTTTGTGTTTAACTGCCAATCAGATGGTCCACAGTTATTCGGATATGGACAAATTATCCCTGGTCTCAGAAGGTAAGTTATTTCGCTCAGAATGATCAGATAGTCTATTTTAGGCCTTAACATAATAACGTGTACCAAAGCTCCTTCAAGCATTCCTATGCTACTTCAACAAAATACTGACTGTGAGGACCAAAATGAGGGGCATGGCATGTCGTTTGTCCCGACTAAACATTTTTGCATAAATGAATTTTCTTATTTTCATTGGACGTACAACTTAGCAAAGCAATTTGTCCTACTTAGAGAATGCAGTTGTTTTGCTACAAATACGCCCACATTCTCTTGCATTGAAAGTGACTATGATTCACTCCAAGCCAAAATTGAATAAAATTGAATAATATTTGCGGCGAACTTGTCCACAGCTACTTGCCGGGCTGTCCAATTAAAAGTAAGGCAGTTGAGCGGCGTATGCATAATAAAAAGCACAGTGGACTGTGTGCGCGTTCCATTCCTATCCCTAAAGACACAATGCACGTGCTGCTTGTCGTGCTGTGTTGTCTGATAGGGCGACTGAAAGCTTGCTCCTGGTTTAGGGGTAGGTTTATTCTACATAGCAAACAAGACTCTGAACTCCTCTGGTGCCGTCATCTTCTACAACAGTCGTGGATGAAGCAAAAGAAGGGACATGATCTTTAGGCGTCGTTAATTGAGTACAGGTGTATGCAGACGACCTACATGTAGACAGTGACACTCTGTCAGAAGTGGAGAAA